AAACAGCCCGAAGTCTGTGATGACCACTTTGCCGTTGTCGTAGAAGACGTTCTTGGATTTGAGATCTTTGTGCACGATGCCCTTGGCGTGTAGGTAGCCCATTCCCTGGAAGACAGCGAGCCTCACATCAGGGGCGGGGGGAGGGGGAGGGGGAGGGGGAGTGGCGATGACTTGGCTTCCACCCTGGTCCAGGCTTCTACCCTCACCCAAGGCCTTCATTTAATCGTCACAACCCTAGGTAATGTGACTGTCTCCAATTCAGAGGCGGAAACCAAGCCTCAGAGAGGGGAGGTCACTTGCCCCAGGCCACACAGCAGTTAAGCAGCACTGCTGAGATCTGGTCCAGGCCGGTCTGTGCTCCTGCCGTGTCACCGCGCTGCCCAGCATCCACCTCATACTTGGATGAGGTGTGGAAAGGGTGACAGGTAGGGAGCTGGGGTCTGGGAGTGTATAAAGGCACACTGGGATGGTACCCTCCGGGTTAAGTCTGAGGAGACTCGAGTGGTCGGGGTCCTATCAGGCTCTGCACAGCTGGCCTCTACCTCAGGCTGGGCAAGGGCTCGGGGGGTGAGGTAGGGGGACGGTGAGGAGTTCCCACACAGGGAGGCCCCGAGTTCAGGTGGTTCCACTGTCTGTGCTGTGGTAGAAGTTGTCCAGGGCTAAGACTGAAATCCAGCCCAGACTCTTCATTGTGTGGCCTTGGACATGACTTTTGGGACTCAGTTTCCTTACCCGTCAAGTGGAAGAACGGAGGTGGATGATTCTAACCAACCCTCTACTGGACTGAACACTGGCCAGGGGAGGGAGGTACACAAGAAGTCACATTAGGAAGCTGTGAGGCAGAAGCAGAGTGAACACAGCTGAGGTCAGAGCTCAGCCCGAGAGAAGAATTTACAAAAAGGCAGATGCTCTCCTGCAAGACAGGAGGATGCAGGGTCCACTGTGGCCACTTCCCTCAGGCCTGCTGAGAACTGTCATCCCCCTACAGAAGCAGGGAAGAGTGACTTGCTCCTTCCCCAAATTCTATCCTGAATGTAAGACAATCCTTCTTAAAATATCTGCCCATTTTGCAAACCAAACCAAGGCACGAGCCTTCCCCGGTGACCAAAGAGAACCAAAGACTCCACATTGTGTTGAACAGGTACCAGCTGTGTGACTGAGGACAAGTCACTGTACCTCTCTGAGCCATGTGTATAAAATAGATGCCACAGCCTCAAACGGCCAGCTTAAGGAAACAAGACAGGAAGTGTCGGGTCTGGAACACAAACTCTCCTCTCTTCCCATAGTTTCATGTTTCCAGAGTGGCCCCCTGCAAACCCTCTAACCAAAGGTTAGGCCCTTGTTAGTATTCTGAGCCTCAAAACATCAGAGATGAGCACAAAAGGAAGTGGCTTAGAAGGTCCCAGAAGAAGAGGGATGGTGAAAACCAAATAAGCCAGCAGAGAGGCAGCTTCCGGCTCCAGAGCTCCAAAACCAGATGGCTCCTTCATCCTGACTCAGCCTGACTCCTCTTAACTCAGCAACCAGACAGGACCCCCCAGTGTCCTGATGATAAGGAGAGAGAATAATGCGGGAGAGGAAGGGGAGTCGGGGAGAGCGGGGAGCAGGGCCTGGGAGGTTTGGGGACCTCACGCAGCAGGTGTGACCCTGCAGCTCCCTCCGACCTCTGCGATGAGACAGACTGCATGCAAGTGAAGGCCTATGTGGGGCACTTTGGCTTTGGGGGCTGCAAATGTTCAATGCGTTAGTTTAGCCACATGACAACATCACGTGGAAACCTTGGTGTTTGTCAAAGTCACTGAGATTTTTATCTTTTCTTTTCTAACAACACACACACAAAATGGACAGAAGGAGGGAGAAACGAGAAAAGAAGGCAAGACTGAAGACAGGAAAGGGACAAAATCTTGGTCAGGGAAAGCTTTTCTGCCAAAACAAGAATGAGGAAAGAGGAAGCCCTATCCAGCAGTGATCTAGTGTTTCTCTGGGCCTGTCTGTTGCTAAATAAAGCAACAAACAAACTTCTCTTTCATTTCAGTTTAATTCCTTTAGAAAGATGAACTTCCCACCACCACCACCACCAAAAAAAAAAAGGCCGCCTGAATTGAGCCTGAGGACCTGTGCTCATGAAACAGATCTGGAAACTTTAAGACTGAACCCCAAACCTTCATGAGTTCTAACACCCTCTCCCCAAGAGCTGGCCCGAGGCCCCCTGCTCTCTCTGTGGATTGTCCCCCTTTACCTTTGCACCAGTCCAATGAGGAAGGTGATGCTGGTATCCCCCATTTCATAGGGGAGGCAGCCAAGGCTCAGAGAGGCTAATCGACCTGCCCGAAGTCACAAAGCTGGCATGACCAGGATTCAAATTCAGGGCATCTGTCTTTAAAGCCTGCCATGTTTCTCCCAGGTGTCCCGCTCCCAGCAGAGGAGACACAGACAGGGAAGGAGATGGGGTCCCACCTTTGAGGTGCCCCAGCTAAAGGGAGAGGCAGAGCAGCCACCAGCACTCTGATACAGCAGACAGCACAGGGGCCTGCCAGGAGCTCTGGAGCCAGCCAGGCATCCCCTTACCTTGATAATCTCCTGGGCGATCTGCCTAGTCTTGTTGATGTCCAGAGACGTCTTGGGGTCCCTCACAAACGAGTGCAACGTCCGTCCCTTGCAGAAGCTGTGGAGACAGATGGGTCAGGCAGAGGGCTGGGCCAGTGCAGCTCGACCCCAGCCCTCGTGGAGCCTGGGAGGAGCGGGGGCAGGGAGCTGTGCCCACCAGCCCTCAGGAGGGCTCTGTCTCCTCCAACCGTGGGCGCCAGAATCCTCGTTCTTCACCAGCCTGACGCCCACTCCTGCCAGGACCTGGCCTGAATGGGACGAACACACGTTCTCTGAGGTGCAGGGCCTGTCCACCCAGAACAGGAAACTCAGCTCACCAAGGCTCCTGGCAACTCGGAGCAGCCCACCCTTGGAGGGTTCATGGCAGGAAGAGCCCACTCCATCTCAGCCGAGGAAGAATCTGGCCTTTTCAGGCTACATCTGGGCAACACCAGGGGCGCCGGGGTACACTGTGATGCTTCTCATGATCGTGTTGTTTTCTGATCACAGGGATTTTATTACAACAGAGAATGCAGGAGGGGGCTGGGGCGGGGCTGTCTGGGGCATCTGAGTGAGTATTAGATGAGGGGCTCATGTGATGGCGCCTCCACCTGCACTGACGCCTAAAACCCAGGGTCAGGAAGGACCTGGAGAGAATGTGGAGCTTCATCCCCTGTTCCAGGGAGGTGGCTTCAGCCGTCTGAGGAAGAGGCTAGTTTTTAGGATCCGTCTCCAAGGAGATAAGACTTTGGGACCCTGAGAGTCTGGAATAGTGGCTGCTGGTTGCTTATCTGTATTCCAGGCCCCTCAGCACGTTCTGAAACATGTTAAAATTTTTTGTTAATGTTCTTTTATTCTTTTACTTTATGTGTTCCCTTCAGGTAAACTCTGATCTCTCATGGGACAGGGTGGATGAGAGAGAGATGGAAGGATGAATGGACAGGCAGCGCTGCGGCTGGGGTCCCGGGATGGTGAGCTGGCGTAACCACAGCCACATTCCCCGAAGCGTCACTGGCGTTTTGTCCCCTTCGTGTGGTGACCTGGTGATCTCACACTGCTTGGGAGTTCTGGTGGATTACTTCGATGGAAATTATTTTTTACTTAGTAAATAAATACAGTTTGTTTGAAGAGAAAATGTTTTTTCAAAGCCACAAGGTCTAACTATAGAGAATGCCATCTGAATATTAATGAGGGTTCTCTTGGCTGATGGGGTTAAAGTGATTTTTAGTTTTTTCTTGAAACTTCCATGTATGTTCCAAAGATTCTTCACTAACCTCATACTGCTTTTCTGATTTAGAAGGAAACACCCAACAACAACTTTCTCAATGCCACAGGCAAAAAAGGTTTCAGTTTCACACCCCTCTGGTACCATGCACTGATGGCAGGAGAGGAAACTGGTGAACACTTTCTGGAGTAGAAATGGACAAGGTGCATCAGATGTTACATGTGTGCACTCTGACCCAGCCCCACACACACAGTCTCAGAAATTCACCAAGATCTGGAAACAGAGATGTTCACGATGACGTGTCCAGCAAAAGAAGACTGGTTAAACAGATTAGAGGAGGAACGGTGATCAGATTCAAGAGAGAACCCAGAGCCCAGCTGTGCGACTCAACCCAACGCCACTCCACTTTCAATGACACCATGTTGCTAACTTGAAATCAACCTCGGTGAGAGTGTTTGTCACCACAGGAGTTGACAGATGATGCAAATCAGGACTTTCCACCCAAGAGCCGGTTGTTAAACATTTACCAGCACATAGCTGATGGGAATACTATGCGGGTATTAAAAAGATCACACTAGACCTCAGACATACACTCAAATGAAGAAAGCAAGGTAATCAGCGTGCTCTTTGGTGTGTATTTTTACAAATACGTAGTTACAAATAGATGAATATTTTAAAAACCTGAGTATAAATATAGTTCTTTACTTTAATGAAAGACATAAGGAACTGTTTACAGTATCCACCTCTGGGGAGAAGCACCCAGTTAGGGTGGGTGGAGACTGGTTTTCTCTTTGTACTTTTCCAGATCATTTGAATTTTCTCAATCCTTAGGTTTCTTTTTCGTTTTCTTTTCTTTTTAATGTCATTGGGCTTCTATGACGGGAAACTTACACTCCATTTTGGCTTTCTTCTTTGTCCCTCTCTACATTAAGATGTCCACGCCCTCCAGGGTGTCCACACAAATCCCAGGGCCCCCGGTTACCTGGTGATGATGGCCAGGTGCGGCGGGTTCATGCAGGCCCCCATGAAGAGCACCACGTTCTCGTGCCGCGTCTGCCGGTAGTTCATCACCTCCTTCTTGAACAGCTTCAGGTGGTCCTGGTTGTGGCCGTCCATCTCCAGCAGGCGGATGGCCACCTCGCCGTGCCAGCGGCCCCGGTGCACCCGGCCCCAGCGGCCCTGCCCGATGGGCTCGCCCAGCTCCACCTGCTCGAAGGGGATGTCCCACTCTTGCAGGTACACGCTGGTCTGGCTGGCCTTGCGAGAGATGGGGCCCCGCCAGGGCCGGCGGGAGCTCGGCAAGTCGTCCACCTCGTCCTCGTCGTCTTCCGCCTCGGACTTGCCGGCCTCCGGCTCCTCGGCCTGGAAGGAGGGGAGGAGGGAATGAAGGGGGCGGCAGTCGTGGGCCGGCGCTCGACCTCCCCTCCCCAGGGCCCCACCGGGTCGGGGAGCAGAGACCCGGGGGTCAGGACGCCTGGGCTCTAGCCGCTGACCTGCTGTGGACAGGGGGCCGGTCTCTTAGCCCACAGGGCCTCAGCGTCCTAATCCACACAGCGCGGGGCCCGGCCCTGCCCCTCCAAGACCTGCCTGTGAGCAACAGGTAACCGCTGGGGGAGAGCATGAACGTCCTCTGGCATGAAGAACTGACCGCATTCGCCCTTTCTGGGGATGCCTTCGTTTAAACACAGAGTTTCTTCTTTTCTTTTTTCAATTGAAGTATAGTTGACGTACAATATTGTGTTAGTTTTTCAGGAGTACAGCAAAGTCACTTAGTTTTATATATATACTTCTTCAGATTATTTTCCATTATAGGTTATTACAAGATACTGAATATAGTTCCCTGTGCTGTACAGTGAAGCCCTGTTGTTTATCTATTGCATATGCAGTAGGGTGTATCTATTAACCCCATACTCCTAATCTATCCCTCCCCGCCTTCCCCTTTGGTAACTGTAAGTTTGTTTTCTGTCGGTGAGTCATACAGCCTGACTCTCCTCTGGGCAGGAGTAAATCAGTCTGCCAGCATTCTTTAAGCTACTGCATGGCACGGGGACAGGCTCGGCTGATGCTGTTCAAGGGTCAAGGCTATAATCACAATCACCTGGGAAGTCAGATAACATCTACAGCTGGTCCCACCCCAGGCTGACTGCAGCCCAGTCTCCCAGGCTGGGGGTGGGAACCCCAGGAATTAAGAGTTTTCTTTAGCCTCAAAAACCAGAGAAGCAGGAAAACACATGCTTCGTGGCATCCCTGCCGTGCAGGCCGCCCGCATCTGCGGCAGCGGGTGGGCCCGAGTCGGCCCATGCCTGGGCCCGGGGCCCGCATGCTTCCCCAGGACCCTCCGTGGGCTGAGACGGGGAAAGAGGAGATGCACTGCCTACAGCTCGCATGTGGCTGTCACTCACCTCCACTTCGTGATCCTCCAACACGTCTGCTTTTGGTGGGTCATCAAGCCTAAGGGTAGAACAGGGTTTGTGGAGGAGCCCCTGAGACCAGGCCACTCCGCTCCCAGCTGGACAGGGGCCTCCCTGCGTGAGGTCTGAGAGAGGGCCACCAGGCCAGGATGCTTACTTTGACCTGCATGGCCATGGGAAAGGCAGTCCAGATGCTGCCGAAACAGACAGGAGGCCGAGGGCCAGACCCCATTTCCCTCCTCCAGTCTCGGCCTTCTCCAGACTAACCCGGGGGTGCCGGGGGCTGCAGGGCGGGCAGGGACCACCAAGGCTCTTTCAAATCTGACAACCAGTATAGGGTTCCAAGTACATGTACAGGACTTGGAATTCTACTTGAGAACTGGTTCTGTTGTTCCCCAGCTGTGTGACTTGATGCAATTTCTTCAAGTCTCTGGGCTGGTTTCCTTGTAAGATGACACTTACTCTACACCTGGCTGAGAACCACACAAGAAAGTGTGAGCACAGCCTGACATGGAGAAAGGGCTTTATAAACAGGAGCTACTTTTATCAGATCTTGCTAATGCTGCCCTCTGCCCGGCCCTCCGGGTCATAAGGCTGCCTCACCCAATGCTGACTGCACCCACAGGAGGCAAAGAAAAACCTCTGGCTGAGTAAACTGGACCACTGAATGAATCAGCCCAAGGAGTGCCCCGCCTGGCTGCCCAGGCACACAGCAAGGTCTGGGATGGGAGGGTCAGAGATTTAAAGGTGAGGGTGGGAGGTGGTCAGGGATGTGGGTCCAGCTTCAACCAGTCCTCCAGGGGAAAGCACGGGGACACCTACCGGGCACTGTCTGCTGTGTCAGGGAACGGGGCTGCCGGGGGAAATGCTGAAATGTCTGCAGGAAACAAAAAAACATAAGAGGCATAAGATCAGCCTTCCTGCTCCCTGCCAAAGACACAGTGCCTGCAAACCCAGCATACGCAGGACATGGGGGCTCCCAGCAGCCCCTCCCAGGGCTGCACCTGGGCTCTCCAGGACACTCCTTTTGCACTCTTCCTAAAACACAAGGCTCTACAGCACTTGGTTTTACCCACACAGCTCTGTCCTGGGAAGGGACTACAGGTGGGCGAGGAGATTTCTTAGTTAACACGTTGATCGCCCTCTGGGGATCCAGTGCCTAAGGAAACAGCTGTCACCCAGCTTTGGGTGACATAGCAATCCACATGCTAACACCATTGCCCTGTAGCCAAACTGCCCGATACAAGTGAGTGGTCAAAGCAAATGGGGCTACTATTTCCTGGACCTGTGGGCCAGACCCTCCTCCTCTGCATGGAGCAGGGGGCACTGGTGGCAACAACCCTTGAAAGCAGGGAGACTCTCAGGCCAGCAGAGGCCAAAGGCCAGATGCGTGTGTGGCTCGTTAGTGACATCTGGCGCCTGGCACAGCTGCAGGGAACTTCTGGTGGCGGCTAGAGGCCCCGCCCCTGGGCTTCCGGGTTTGGGTGGCTGGTGGAACAGCTCTTAGGAAGAAATGCACAGTCCACTCATCGGGGACCCTGAAATTAAGCAGCTAGCACCGATCCCTGAACCTGAGGCTTTCCCAGTTTTAGCATTGGAAGTCCCACAATTCAGGGACGCCAGACAGATGGTCACCTCAGCGTGGAGCCAACATGTTGCAGGCCACCCCCCGCCCCACTGCAGCTGCTTCTGCCACCTGCTTCTTTCTGTTCTCTCTACTTCCTTCTAATCACACTCGGGGAGGCTGGCAGCCCCAGGACTGGGTGGGCCCCTCACTCATTCCTCTCTTTTCAGCCAGAGGAGGGAGCCTGGAGGTGGCAGTGGCTCAAGCTAATCAGCACCTCTCCCTGTCTTCCAGGACAGAGAGCCTCCCCACTGGCCAAAGCTCCCTCTAGGGCTTTCTCCAGGGCTACTCCTGAGGCTTCTCAACATCTCTGGGAACTCACAGACTGAGAACCTGACAGAGGCCCTGGGCCTTCTTATCAGGGAAATGCACACATGCACCCACCATCCTGTGCACAATTTCTGGGGAATCCTAGACCCCGGAAGCCTCTGCTAAGGCCTCCTCTAGGCATCACCACACTGAGTCTACAGACTGCCAAGGGCAGCCTGATGTTTCCACCCACCTGACGCTGCTCAAATGTTTCCAGGGAAGGATAACACATGTGTGGGGGATGGGGGTACATGGGGAGGTGGGGTTCTGGGGAGAAACAGCACCCCAAGTTGGTGGGGAGGCAAAATGTCTCCGAAGCTTACTTCCCCTTAAACATAAAGAGTGTATTCTGCATTCCGGTCCAAATGTGTCCATGTTTGTTCTAATAAAATTGTATTTCAACCCCCTTCCCCATGCATATCTTCAGAGCAAGATGGACCTTTCTGGAAGAAGAGTCACGTTTTCCAATGCTTTCAAGGGTACTCCCCTGTATGGCGTCCTAGGGTAGTATCCAGGGGGGCTCCTGGAGGGAACCACAGCAAAAATGGATGCGAAACCACAGAGGCAGCTCAGGGAGGCTGGCCCTGACCCCAGCCAGCCTGCACAGCCTGCAAAACTGCCGGATGGTCTTAAGGACTAACTCGCAGTCACTCCCCTAACGGAGCTGGTTTGGAGAATAGAAAAGCCTGGAATAACCAAAATACCATTCAAGACAGGCCTGCTTAACCCAGAAAAAAAACACAACGAGCTACAATCTTTGTCTAAAACAGAACCTTCATATGGCTAAATTAAAGCGGCAGATTACTTATACAAATGCTTGTTACCATCAGCTACAGAAGTAAGTACTCATTGTACATAGACCCTAGGGACGGGAATATGGTCAAATGAAAAGGCTGGCCCATAGCTGGTGTAAGAAACAATTTTTGTGGAAGGGAATCAAGGAGAATGTCGTTTTCTCCTTTCAACTTTCTGCACTAAGGAGGCAATTTCAATAGTGGCCAGCAGGTGGCGCTGTATGGCAAGGCTCTGGAAGGTGAGGCCCATTTGAGGAAGCGAAGGCTGTCTGTACTTCCCAAACTGGCGTCCCGTCCCCTTCTTTAAGATAGCGTAGTCGTTTCCTTGTCTTTATGTAGGGGAAGATATCTTGACTGATGCTCATAAGGCGTCAGCAGAAGGTCCTCTCCTCTCATTCTGCAAACACTTTCAACCACCTCCTGGCTGTGTGACTCTGGATAAGTTGCCTACAGTCTCTGCACAAGAGGCAGGAGAGGGTGGATGCCAAGGACCCTCCTGATAAGGCACTGCCCCCGTGAAGGGCCAGCCTCAAGGTTGCTCACTCTGCCCCGCTGCCCAGCCTCAACAGTAGATCCTCAACATAGTTGGGTGTGAGACTCAGGTACCTCTGAGGCACCCAGGGAGAGGCGGGTGCCAGGTGGGCTGGACTGAGAGGGGATCACGGCAAGGGGCAGTTAGTGGAACCATGCAAAGGACTCACCTGGAAAGATAAACTGCTGTCTATGATGAATGAAGTAGGCAGCTTTAAACAGAAGAGGAGGTAAGTCACACACAGAACAGCAAATGCAGCAGGGGGAGAGGGGACACAGGCATGGGCATGGGGGAGAGGGGCTGGTTATCGGGCTCGGGCAGTCCTGCCCCACCTGCCCTGCCCCAGGTGGGCCTGGCCAGGACAGGGTGATTCATGCAGGAAGGAGAAAAAAGCTGGGAGAAAGTGGGTGCCGGCAGGAGCCCCCAAGAGTACAGGGACTTGCACTAAGGACTGGCGTTCGGAAACCCAGTCTCAGGGGCACCTTGTTGCAGAGCCCAGGCTAATTCTTCTGTTCACCTCCCAGGCCCCCTTCTCCTCTGTGAAACGCACATGAGCCCAGGAGGGCAAAATACAATGGGGCAAAAAACCAAGATTTTGAAAACATTGACCAAGTGCTGCGTGCAGAAGTCAAGTAAACCCCCTCTGCGACCCCACCCACGTTCACACCCGGGAGGGGCTGAGGCCTCCACCACTTGATGCCACCATCCAAAAAAATCACCTTTCCTCAGGTGTAGCCTCAGAGCTGCACTGAAATGCTCCAGCACATTACAGAGCAGGGGGGACGGAAGGAGGGATTCCCATCCCGTGTCAATTGCCAGCCCAGCCCAGCCCTGAGACAGCAGACCCTGCAGGGTGAGGGCCCAGCCCAGGGACATCGGGGAAAGCTGAGAAGCTCTGGCTGACGTCACACAAAGGACTTTTTCTGTGGCTGTTATTTTTCAAACAGGCCCTTCCTTTCAGAAAAGCCCAAACTAGAAGGTTCAGCAAAAGGCCCGGTTTCAGAGCACAATAATGACAGAGCAGAATGGGAGGGGAGGTTAATCAAATGGGCCATCGCTCAGTCGCAAGGAGGGAGGGGTGTGCTCAGGACGATGCTTTAATGTTGGGAGATGTCCAGCCACGTGCGTGTTAAGGCGAAGGGGCAGGCAAAAGAGAAAAAATCCTAAACATCTCATCTCTCACCATCCCCAGGAGTCCCCGGAACCCTGATGAGATGGGCCCAGAGAGGCTGCCCGGCCTCCTGCAGCCCCAGCCGGGGGTCCCCTGTGCCTCTGTCCTCCTGGGCTGGAGCCCCAGGGGCCATGGCAGGTGAGGCCGGGCCTAGACTCCCCAGGATGAAGCTGGTGCATCCCAGCTGCCCTCCGTCCCCAGGCTGCCGACTGGGACACACCGAGAGCTGAGAGGGACTGCAAGGAGCCACCAGGGAGGCCAAGGCAGAGGTTCAGTCCTGAACTTAGCCGGTGAGCTTCGTTCTGCTCTATAGGGAGGTGGGACACCCCAGGCCTGGCTGAGCAGCGGGGACCCTGGCCCTACAGACTTGGGGCAGCCATGACCATGGTGGAGTCAGAAGTCAGCTCAGCTTCAGCACATGCGCCTGGGGGAATTCATCCATACAACTGGGATAACCTAACTGCAGCCTCACGTGGTCTCGTTTTACGTAAAAGGGAATAAAATTTCCCCTTTAAGTAGCTTGTCCGGATCACAGAGCAAGTGGGCCACACAGCCCCAGATTCCCTCTCCGCAGCCCTCTGGGCCTGCTCCAGCACCCTGTACTGCCTGCCCTGCTTCCTGGGAGCTCAGATGCCCCGAGAACTGAACAATGCCAGGAGAAGCTACCCCCTGCGTGGGAAGGCAGCGTGGGATTAAGTCAATAACCCAGGCTTTACATCAGACAGCCTTGATTTTGGTCCTCGCTCTGCCACTAACAAGCTGTGTAGCTTGGGACAAGCCGTGTAGCTTGGGACAAGCCATTTCCTCTCTTTGAACCTCACTATCCTCACCTGTAAAATGGGTGCAATCACAGCACGTTTAACTACGGTGATGTACTTAAGCTCAGTACAGCATCCCAGCAAGTGCTCCTGGTGGTGGCAGGATTTGACCTGGAGCCTGCAGGGGTTTGCAGAGAAGGGACACGCAACCCCATCCCTGAGGGGCTGAGAAAGCCCTGAGGTGTGGTACCTGGGAAGTTGAACCTGCCGTCCCGCTGGCCGGGCGAGGGGTTGGGGGGCGTGGTGGCACTGGATGGGTTGGATGATGCTGGGCAGGGTGCCGGCGAGGAGGGCGTGGAAGATGTGGTGGAAGATGGGTTGCTGCTGGAGTCCAGGTGGTTCATGGCTGGAGGGTGCTCCTGCGGGACCAAAGACACGGGGAGTGGGCAGGGGCTGCCACTGCCCAGCCCAGCCAGCCTCCCCGCCGACACCCTCCCTTCCCACCTAAAAATGAAGGCATCAGCCCAGGGCATCCTCACTGGTCTAAAATTTGAGGGAAAGACGGCACAGGAAGACCCGCATCTCAACACCCACCCCCTAGAGGGCTCCTCTCACCTTTCTGATTTCAGCTCCAACACCCCCTCCTCCCGGGAGTCTTTCCCAAGCCCTGGCTGGGACCACGCTCCTCCTGCTTATCCTCTGGTAGCTCCCAGCACTTTTCATCAGGGCACTTGAACTGCAGTTTGTCAATGGCAGGCGCCTTCGGTGGTTTTGTGAAGAATGTCCCTCCACCACATTGTATGTCCCGTGAGAGCAAGGACAACACCTGCTCGTCACACAGCCAGGGCCTGTATCTGGGCCAGCCACAGAGTAGGGTCTTTTAATGAATTAACTTTAGCCTCCGACAAGTGTGTGGTACACAGCAGGTGCCTAGTAAGTGCTCCCTCCACTCAGCAGGTGGACCTGCTGGGTAGGACCACTCGGTGGTGTGGGCCCTAACAAGGCCAAAAGGCCATCGGAGAGAGGGCTACAGAGCGCCTGGCTCTCCGTCAGGTGGGACCCTGGACCTGCCCAGTGTTTCCCAGACCGAATGCCAATTCCTCAGGGGGCAGGGGAGGGATCCCTGGTCAGAAAAGTTGGGGCCGCATTGGGTTAAATGCCAGGCTTAGCAGGTTTCTCCTCTGCAGGCCTAAAGGCTCTGGGTGGACTGTGGAACCCACCTAAGCTATGCTGTGGGCCTCATCATCCAGCGACGGCTGACACCGCCTGGTGCCAAGCTAAATAGGGGAGAGGGCTGCATCCATGGAGCCCTCACTCTCTCAGCTCACACGGCCAGGCCCAGACCCTCCACCCCAGCTGGGCTGGGCCAGCCAGGGCAGGGGAGCGGCTCAAGGCTGAATCCCAGCACCTGCGTGACCTTGGACAGATCACGCCACCCTTCTGAGCCACAGTGTGTCGTCTGTACAACAGGGGCATCAGCTGCTGCCTCTTGGGGCTGTTCATTTGTTCAACGTTCAATACAAATACTTCCTCACCGCCTTTGGTGTGTCATAAATGCAGTCTACAAAATGGCTAAAGACAGGATCCCTGAAGGCCACCACCTGGCCACAGATCCTGGACAGCGGTGTCTGCTTCCCTGCTGGACCTCCACACTGGGGGAGCTGCACAGAAAGGAATCTCGGGGAGGGTTCTCCTGACAGTGTACCTTTTTTGTCAGTGCTTTGGGGAGGGTTCCGAAATGAGGCTCAGCTGCTCTGTCCACAGGATTGTTGATGTCCGAGGGGACAGATTCTGTCCTCCGAAGCCTGGGTACTGTTTAAGAAGAGAGGGAGAACCATCAAGATCAAGAAAGATCCACCCCAAATCCAGAAGGCAGAGGAGAGAAGGGCAGAACACTCACGTGGAAGGAAGGATATTCTACAGGCGGGGGCTTCTTTTGTACACTTGTTATGACACTTCAACCTGGTAAAGAAGGCAGGGTCAGTGCACGGACCAGGCGGGAGGGCCAGGCGGGAGCCCCGGGCACACACAGCGGCTCAGGAGCACTGCCTGGCAACTCTGTGCAACACTTGACTGTGACAGCCTCAACGTCCAGAAACGTCTCAACAAACATTAGCTTAAGAGCGCAGAACAGGAGAGGGTGGAGCTCAGTGGTAGAGCACGTGCTTAGCATGCATGAGGTCCCGGGTTTGATCCCCAGTACCTTCATTAAAATAAATAAATGAATAAACTTAATTACCTCCCCCATCAAAAATGAAAAAAAATGAAAAAAAAAAGAGTGAACGTCTTATATCAATAATAAGCTGCTATCTGCTGAACGTGACCATGCTCCCACTGCCACTGGCCCCATCTTCACAGCAAAGCAGGTGTGACTCTACCCGTTTTAACCTGCTGTGGGCCACACATCTATGTCTCTTTTCTAAAGAAAAGGAGACCCTCCACCACATTCAGAAAGCTTGAGACAAGCCTGAAGTTAAAAGAGATGAATTAGAAGGCAAACATTTGCATTACCAAAGGATCCCAGGGAAGCAAGGGGCAGCCCCTCACACTACCTTCCAGCACAGGCCACGTGGTCTGAGGACCGGAGTGGCTTGGTTCTTGGTTTGGTTCTGCCTGCTGAAGCATGTCTTGGGGTTCTCAGTGATCAAATGGGCTGACAACCTCACAATGCAACTGCAGGAGGGCTCTCCACAGGAAAGGCATTACTTGGAGGGGAGCCGGAGCTCTCCGATTTAATGCCAAATGGCCAGGAGACACAGACCTCCACGAGTGCGAAAGCTCTGGTGTCTCCTTGATGGTCAGGAGTCTCATCAGAAAAACACAATTTATCCAACCAACACACGAGACCCATCACCTACATTCCGGTAGGAGCCCAAATGTTTTTACTACACACACTAGCTCAGATTCTTGGGGCAATCCTGGTGGCCAAAGCAACCTGGAATCATCTTTCCAGATGTATAGATGACAAAAATGATGCCCAGAAAAGGCAAGCACCCTGCCCGAGGCCGCACAGCAATGCAGGGGTTAAGTGAACTGGGATGAGAGACTCCAGGTCCATCCTCTGTAAGGCGAGGGCAGCCGGACAGCCGAGGACAGACTCAGCCCACATTGCTCACTGCCCTTGCCCTCTTCTCCGACCAGGAACCACAACAGTAGGGAAAAAGATTCAATTTGTATAGAATCTACATATTCCCCTCACTCACCTCTGTAAGTACCTCGAGCCACTTCTCTGTTTTTACCACTGTCTGTTCCCATTCCTCATGTGCAAACATGTATGGCTAAACTTCAAAATTCCTTACAGTTTTCAGAACAGTCCTGCCATTCCCCTCAGTCTTTGTACAAGATGCTCCCTTGGCCTGGAATTCTCTTTCCTCCTTGGTCCACCTGGTAAACTTCTACTCATCCCTCAAAGCCCACCTCAAATGTTCCCTTCTTCTGAGAGTGCCTTGCCTGATGCTTCCTTAATTCCCTGAGAGAGGGCTGATCATTCCCTGGTTACTGAATGAGATTATGAATGGTAGGTTGAGGAACTATCCAAAGAGTTCCTCTGAACTCTGACTTGACCTAAGGCCAAGAGTCAAGTCGCGAGACTGCTAATGAACTACAAGCACGGGGTTTGCTGCCCTCACCCACCCCATCACCCTCCGCCTGTCACCTGCAGTGCTTGCACTTCACTCCAAACATCATGCTCTTCTGGCACACGTGGCAGACCTGCGACAGCCAGGACTTGGTGGAGAACCTGCAGGGGGTAGACACACGAAAAGTCTCAGAGGGACTGGGATGGAGAAGGGTCCCCACAAAGCCCCAGAGAAACCAGGGGACTCAGTTCCATCCTAGAGCCCCAGGCACCCTCTCAAGTGGAGGGCAGGGACACCCAGGGGCCACTGCTTCCCCCGGGCATTGAGGTTTCTCAGCCACAAAATCATCATGGCCAAAATCCCAAAGCTGGTGTGGTCACTGATGATGATCGCTCCGGCAGGCGATTTGGCAAAAGCCATCAAAATTATAAGTGCGCACACCAAGCGATGCCAGACTCAGGAGTTCATCCAACAGATGCTCCCACGGGTGTCAAATGATGTAGACAAGGCTACTCACCGCAGCATGCTTGTGACGGTAAAAGACTGGCAACAACCTACATTGTTTGGGCGCACAAGCGACTGACTGCATAGAGTGTGGTCCATCCACACAACTGAACACCATGCAGCCGGAAAATAAAATGAGAGAGCTCTTTTTGTGCAAATAGGGAACGATCTCTAAACTACGTTGTCAGGGAAAAAAGTATAAGGTACGACGCTGTGTGATTCCATTTGTATGAGGTTCAAGTACAGGAAAAGCTAACCCATGGTGACGGAAGTGGAGGGTACCTCCAGGTGGCAGCACTGTGGACCGGGAAGGGCCAGAGCTAACTTTCTGGGGTGTGGATGCCTGAATCCCCCTCTGGGTGGTGTACAGGGGTGTAGACACATCCTTAAGAATTTATTTTTTCTACTTAGCGCTATATAAATTATGCCTCGATTTTAAAAAGAGAAAAAAAAAGCAAAGTATAGAACAGTGTGTGTCATATGTGCAGTATTTGTGTGAAAATAAAAAAAGGAAGTAAAAGGATATACGTAAGTATTTGCTTGTATAAAAACATCTCTAGAAGGATACACGACAAACTGCCGAGATCTGCCTACAGAGGGAACTGGGGGGCTGGGGACAGCAGCGGGAGGGGACTTTTCTATATATATATCTTTTTAGAGCTCTTGAGGTTTGAATTATGAATGTATTTCAATGCAAACTAAATTTTAAAAAACCCCACAAAAGATATACTGATGGGGGTTGAGTGGGTGGTGTCCTCCAGAGAAAAAGCCCAAGGTCTGTCCATAGGGTGGGGAGGCCTAAGGGCAGAAAGAACTCACATTTTTGGAGGAAAAGATTTTTTAAAGCATAGTATATCATAGTAACACCAAAACAAAACAAGAGTATTTGGAGAGCAGTTTGCAATGCATCCATAAACATTAGCTCACTCTTAGGAGTGACCATCCCTAGGAGTTAGGCAGGTCCAGGATTCTTAGTACACAGGCAAGGAAATGAGCTCAGAGAGGTCAGGGGATTTTCCTGAGGTCACACAGTTGGAATGCTGTGCAGCGGAGGCCAAACCCCAGGTCTCTGAAGTCAGAGCACGGCTCTGTAAGAGGGCCCACTGGAGCAGAGCACCCAGCCGAGACAGGAGCTGCCGGGGGCGAGGACAAAGGTGGAATGCCTTTTAAGGAGCCTCAGTCCGGCCTCCCTGGGATCCACACTCCCTTTCTCTCTGGCCTTTAATCTCCTCTCATGTCAACACAGGGGGAAGGGATACCTGATGATCTCCGATAGGCAATCCTGAAAACAGGTTGAAATGACAGTTGGGCCGGGCCCGAGAAGGGGCAGGTGCTAGAGAGATGGGTGGGACGTGGGGTAAGGGTCACGGAACAGACTTTTCCTCTACGATTGGACCAAAAACCTGTCGACTTTCTTGTTGAGAGACGCCTGGATCATGAATTTAAAAAACCAAGAAAGTGTGACGGTGATGTCCCCTATGCAAGCTTAGAACCTGGGCAGGGCAGGCTGGCAACGCCAGACAAGGGGGGGGCTGCTGCCCGGCTTGGAGGGCGGCCTCCGGAGCCAGCTGCCCCAGCTGGGAGGAGGGGCAGTCTGAGAGACACTGGGGGCCAAGATGGCACAGCCTGAAATCATGTGAAACCAGGTGCAGCCAAGACAAAGATGAAGCAGAGCGACCTGCTCATCCTGGTGTCTGGGATATGTCGGCCTCTCTCGGGCGAGAGCCAGAGGCTCCCTAGTGCTGGATTGTGAGGCTCACGTGCACATCACCGCATTCTACCCTCACGACGGGGCTGGGAGCAAGTCCCAGCTGCAGAGAGGGAACTGAGGCTGGGAGGCTTACTGCCAACAGGCATGGGTGGGGTTCCTGACTAGAGAGGACCTGCTGGCACTGGGTGAGGCCGAGGCAGGCACTCAGACCCTCACTCAAACGGCTTCTCCCAGTGCCGGGGACTCTGCTCCCCAGGGCTCCGGGGTGCAAGCTTTTGGGCCCCACCAAGGCTCCGACCAGAGGTGCCCGGGCACCAGCCAGCAGAATCGAGCAGTGTCTCAGTGGCGGCGTGACCTCAGGCAATTACTCAACCCCTCTAAGCCGGGTCTGCCCCCCTGGGTGAGGACTCCAGGCCGGCCTCCCACATCAGCGGGAGAGCAGCTCACACTCGGGGGGAAATGAAAGGCCCTGGCAGATCGCAAAGCTCTCGACAAGGGGCCTTGTTGTATTCACAACAGCCTTTAAAGGGGTGGCCAGAGCACAGGCATCCAAGGCACCATCCTGCTGGTCATCTGAGGGGCGGAGATGCCACCCAGACCTGCTGTTTGCAGCACACACCAGCTCCCTGAGTGTTGAGGCCAAGGTCTCTGGACGGTCCATGTTACGGGCCCACATCAGCCCACCAGCCGCCTGAGCGCCAGAGTCACCAGAAGTTGCTGGACTCCAGACTGGCAAGGCCTGGAGTTTCAACAAGCTCCACAGGGCTCTGATGTGTGGCCAGTGATGTCCCCATGACTGATGTCACACTGGCCTCAGAAGACACTCTCAGATCCTTCTCCCTGGGCCTGTGACCCTGTCTCTCCTGGGACCTGCGTTTCCCCTCAGCAGAC